TTATTCCGGGCCTACATCTATTTGCTTTACGCTACGACAAGGCTAGCTTGTCCTGACGTTCATTTACCCGCACCAAATCAACTGAATCAATCATTTTTGTTCAAGTTGGTGTAAAGAAATATTAGAAAACTTTTCCAAATTTTGCTCCGCACAAAAACATGAGACTGCCACCACAAAATAAATGACTTTTGAAGAATGTAAGAAAGCACGCAAAATTCAAGAGGAGACTCGATTCTGTATCTTTGTTTTATTTGCTAACACTTAGCTTCTATGCTAACTCAGAAACGAGTATCATACCACTTCTCAAACCAGTTATAAACTGTCAACACTTAACCTCCAAAACCGAAAGACATTTCGTCAAGACGGATATTCTCTGGAGGTTTTTTCCGTTACTACAATAGCCGGAAGTGTGTGTGTGTCTGGCAGTTCACTTTCAAGTGCATGTAGAGCCTGGGTGGGCAACAATAAACACCAGCAGGTAATGATGATGAGGCAAGCAAGGTAAGGTTTCGACGGGTCCCTATCGGGCCAGGTTTCTTGATCTTGTTGCCAGTGTGTTTTGTTGTCGACCGATAATACTACTCTGTCGTCACTTTGTGAGGCGGCCGGTCCGGCGGAATTGGACGACTGTTTTGTGTCCGAAAATTCTCCCGAAGATGATATTTCCTGATAATTATCGCCATTATGTAAACGTCATAAACGTATATGGAATTATTTTGTCTCACACAAATCTTGGAAAGTTGAGTCTTTCATATAGATCTCACACAAAAGGTTTGTAACCAACTTTTGTGAAGGAAACGAAGACTTCGCAAAGCATTGTGGACACTTTTTGGGATATAAAATTCAATCGAGCTAACAGAATTTAGAGGTTATCATGCCTGTGCAGCGCTCTATCTCGGAACAAGTGCGATTGCACAATAAGCTCTGGCCGTCTTGCATGAAAGTATTGTATGAAATGATTCAAGAATGAACATTTACTTACTTGGTCGTGATTGTCAATTGACAGCCCCTATAACACACACAAAAAAATCACAAAAAAGAAAGAAATCCCCACCTACCAACCCTATTTTCTAATGCCATGTAATCGGAAGCAGAACTATTTGTTTGGCATGGAGACTCGTAAACCTGACACAGGGCCAGAGGCAGGGGTAGTGTATAGTTGATGTACAGGTGTGTAGAAGCCCCTAAGTTCCTAGCGCATTACATACCACGTGTCGTTTACATTTACCACATTTTTTTTCCTCCATTAAAACACAATTTTCATAAAAAAAACTCCACGAATTGTTACAAACAATTTTTGTTTGCTATTTTTGGACAGTTACAATTTGGTACTTTCAGTTTTATGGGTGAGTTAGGGTTTTTTTTCGTAACCGACACCAAAGTGACTTGTAGAAGCTCTGTTGCCAGAGCTCAAAGCGGCGCGCCGTGGCACCGACCGCGTAATTGTTATTCCTAGGAGGGTTAGGGGCAATGTCATGAATAATTCATGTTTATCCATGAGAACGGACAATGACATCAACAGCATTGTTGTTAGTTACTCAACTAGTTACAATACATTAAAGCATTTTAAAGAACGGTTGTCGTCGAGCTACCACACAGTAGCCTAGTGGATAGCGAGATGAGCTATGGATACAAAGATCCCTGGTTCGAATCCACGTTGTCGCTGCTCATTTTCATCAGCTATTTTTCTTCTCCAAATTTATCACTGAGATAATTTTAAATTAAGGGGAAAATAGAACGAGAACCTAAGTCTTGCAATGATTCAAAGGAAAAACTGAATTATTCATGACATTGCCCCTAACCCTCCTAGGAAAAAAAAATTACGCGCACCGACCGACGCGTGATGGCGGTCCCGCCGTAAATGACAACGCCCTCTTTCGGTTGATGATTGGGTAGAGCCTTGATAATGATACGTACTATCTGTCACAAAATTAATGCAAAAGGGAGACCACAATTTACCTTGAATTCCAAAGAATGAAACTAGTGACTAGACGATCACAATAGACCTTTCTTTAGTTTGTAAATGCGTTGGGACCATTTTATATGGGCTGCCGCAAGCGCATAAATTGAAGCATATTTTCCCCAAAAAAGTATTTTTTGGTTATCTGTAATAACCCTTCTTCATTTTTGCAGTGTTTTGGGACCCTCCATTTACCGAAACCAAATATAGCACCCTCCTCATTTTCAAGTGTGTCCACCAAAACTAATGGAAGAAAGAAAATACTTTCAGAGTTAAATAACAGTTCTGTATCCCCTACTTTGGTAACATTTACTAACAAGGTTTACTTTTTTTTTACTCCTCTGTGGATTTACTAGAGCTCATGGATTCCCCTAGAGCTAGCTATGCACAGCCTGCAGGTGAGACTAGGGCATAGTCTACTACATGTCCGACCGTGTACCGCTTACTGATCAAGTGGATTCAGTAATTGCACACACCTGTAAGCCCCCGAGGGTCACGGGGCTAGGGTCAGGCTCTGCTCCGAGTGTTTTGACGGCCTGGTAATGATGAAGAATTGCTCTGGCAACTTCAAAGGTCGTTTTCATCTGCCAAGTCCAGGAAATAAACAACTCGTACCCGGGCTGGTAATTGGATGCAGTGTGTGGAAGAAGGAGAGCCAAGGAGCAAGAAATGTCTAGAAATCCATAGCTCACCCGGAACTGAAATCATGTGTGACCTCCACTGTCGTGTGCAATGGAAATATCACAATTACTACACGAGTAACAATCTAAATACAGACAACAAAGTCAAGTGCTCAACTTTACTGAGAAGAGACCATAATATTTGACCAGAGCTATACTTTTTTTCGGTGCTAAAGGTTCACGAACAACCTGTGAAATTTTCGAGTCCTATTTGCGAGATGTAACAGATGGAATGGGTACGCAAGGGGTTCCAAGCTATAGTTCTCACTCAGTCTACGGGAGAGACCAGTACAACGGCGGTATACATCAACGCAGGTTTTCTTTCATCACATCAAAATATTCTTACTTTGTTCGAAATTCAAATTGTCGTGTGAGGTGGGGGGGGGGGGCGGAGAAAACACCTTCCATCCTCATCAAGCTTGTTAACAACCGGGTTCATGATTAAAAAATCCTCAAACGAAACAGCTCTCTCAAGAACAAGCTCCAGAAACTGACACTTCTCCAATTTTCCAAATTTCCCAAGAGGTACTCTCATGCTTACCGTGCGCCTCAACCTCCCGAAGTCTCGGAGGCGCCCCCCCCCTTCCCCTCCAGTAACATCCTTTCCCTTCCTCCTGCAGTCCTAGCAACCTAGATCCCCGACAAGTGTACGTCTCATTCCCCTTCACTGCTACTAATCACAAACGACATGTTTAGCTCTCGATGGGATAAGCGGAAATTCCGTAATGACTCTGTTCGCACCTAATTCGAACCTAATTCGCACTTGCCTGTCGTGAGTCATGAAACTTTGAAAGCCACGGTTTCGATGCGACTTTTTTCTGTACTTGATGAACCGACGAGGAAATTCAAAGAGACTTCTCGAGTTCTCAGTCTGTATGTTTATCTGTTTATATCCCCGTTTACGTTGCTCGTCATTTTGCAGACATAATTACAAACGTCAGGGCGTTAATCTTAAAATTAGACCGACCTTGAACATTTCACCACACAATTATAAAGTCGGCTTCGTGGTTTGGGCGCCTCTATCTGCAGTAAAATCATTAGTAATCTTCACACGGCGCACATTAACATGTGCCTGTATTTCTAGCGTGGCAGATAGGCAACAAGGGGTCTTTGATGACAGCTTTCTAGGGCACACTGGACGGTCAAAATGCCCCGCATTTTGGAGGATGGGGTGGCCGCGTTCACAGTCATTTTTGGTTCCTTCCGGAGCGAAACACTCTGAAAAAGCTTCATCTTTTGTGCACGGTGGCTTGTTTAGAGGACAACTAAACATTTTTGGGTAAATTAAAGGTGAAAAAGAAAATGGACATTGCCTGTGCTTCCCTCGTATGCAAGGGATACGCAAGTTTCAACACTTTTTACGGTCGTGTTTCACCTTCCAAATACAAATGGCAATATGGAAGCAATATGGAGTGTATGGGAATTGAAGTGCTTGCATTTTGTTTTCGTTCAAATTACTTTAAAACGGGCTTCATTATGGATTAACACGGACTATGGAATTTCGGTGTATGTCCACTCCCCGTCTTTTCTGCGAAAATCGTCTTCATTCTAAACTTGTGATTGGCGGAGGCGGGGCACATGGACGCAAGCCTGGGGGGGGGGGGGGTTACAGGTTAGGTGTTGCCCCCAACTAGCCCAGTCTCTCCTTTATTCCTGCATGGTTTCAGGATGACTGATTGGTCCATTAGTTCAGTGCCCTTACCAGGTATGATGGGTATGCATTGCAAGCAAGGAGAATGACGGGGGACCGAGGTTGGAAAAGACGGATGATTTCATCTATTTATAATAAGGGTGTGTGGGGAAAGTACATGATTTGGATTATTTTGCGCATTCCAATTGCTACATGTCTAATTATAAATGTCGAGGTATTTCAGTCATTTCATCTGATTGAAAAAAGTACCCACCCGCTCTACTTTTGTGCTGACGCTCCCGTTTCTAAGAACCTCTATATCAATCAACACCACAACGGCAGGATGAAACACGTCTGATACATCAGAGGGCTAGATTTTTGCAATTAACAGTCGTCGGGGACGCCGAGATGCCATCATCTTGCGATTCCGACTTTTGAAACCGATCCTTGTGATTGATTATCTATGGACTTTTTGACCATAGTTTTTCGAGAGCCATTCCCAAGAAGTAGGCCTATGCTCCCTTGAAATGAAAGTGTTTCATGCAAATTTAAAAGCCTCAGGAGAGGAGGTGTAGCCGAATGATTGATAGGCGAACTGATGATCACCTGCTACCACCTGCAACCAGGTGCCTTTAGACCACGCCCACATCGTCCTGCTAGTCTCATTCCAGTCATTTTGCATTTGGTAGGGACAAAGTCACAGTCATCATACAGACAAAAATGTCAATAATTATTAGACACAATAAATATTTATATTCATAAATACATTACAATTTATACAGTTATAATTACAAAAGTTATACTGATCTCACAAACTAGTACTTTAATAATGTTATCTATAATACCTCCATTTGATTTACTGGGCCTTTACACAACCAAACATGCATTAATTTTATTGTAATTGTTATGACCAGCACAACAGAATAAAATCACAATGGTCTTGTTAAAAATAAATTCCGGAATGATTTCCGCGTAACGTGAAATTTACAATAAGCGGCTTATTATAAAGCGGCAAATTATAGTAACTTTTTAAAAAAATACTTATTTACATCTTTATATTTCGGAAATGTGAAATTGTTAAAGAAGATGTTAAAAGCGTCTCTATCTCAGGTTCGATTCTGATTAGAAAATTTTGCGATGGCTAATTATTTCAGGAAAGTAAATTTGCGGATTTTCTTTCCTTTGAGGAATCAGGAAAACAGTTAGGCAAATTCTCGGAAATTATTCACCAGCCGCAGGCTATACGCCTTTTAAGGGGGTGGGTAAATAATAATTCCCTGGTAGAAGAGGTCTAATCATTGCCAAAAACACCAAAATTAAATCAGGTTCCGTTTTGAAGAAATATTACTAGAAATACTGAATATTCAATTTACAAAATATAAGTATAATACTTATAATAAATCATTGATCTCTATTTAAAATCACTTACTGATCTACTTCAGCTGACAGATTGCATTATGATGACAGATTTATGGGTTATTTAAAAATAAAATTGAACATTTCCCATATAGGCTTGTGGCTCAAGGTGTGAATAAACAAACACAAGAATAGTCCCCCTCTTTCCCCAAAGATCGAATTTATTCAAAACATCCTGTGTTTGCACAGTTGTGACTCATTAAATCTACGGCAACTGTCTCCATAATATCGTGCATGTACTAATGAAGACGGACGGCACCTTACTGCAGTAGGATTAACTTGCCTAATCTTATTAAAAACCGAACGGGGATGCGTTTCAGACCATAAGAAAAGTTATCTATCACACGTACGTGTAGCAATGACGTGGTTAATTGGACGGACGCCAGTCCACGAGAAGAATAAGACTTTGGGTGTATCAACGAGTTACAGACCAGTGCAGTACAGGTTGGACGGAAGGTGCAATTTTTTTTAAGGAGTCTCTCTTCTCTTAAAGAAGGAGACGTTTCCATGAACCGCAGTCGAGGAACTGAGCTCTAAATCCCATTGGAAATTAAAAAGGGAAAGACGGCTTAGTACTGCTGTCGTGGTGTGGTTCTGGTACAGTTTTAGCGTCTGGCCTGGCAATATTAACCACTTTTCCCACAAGTTGGTTTCGATCGCGGACCGTTTGATCAGTGACTCGAATCCAGATAATGTCGTGTTGCATGTGTCCTTAAGCAACATATTTTACTGCAATCATAATGCAAAGAGAACAGTTTCAAGTATTCAACTAAAAAAAATCACACAAGTTCAGTCACTAACCATATCTTAAATGTGTGAGATGAGTTCAGGAATTGGTTTATACTTTCTTAAAAAATATCCTTTGCTATTAGCTAATAAGAAAAGATAAAATCTACAAAAAGGGGGGGGGGGGGTAGTGTCAAATACAGGTTAATTAGAGGCTTACATCACATCTTGTAACATATGCCTCCAATCGCGTGATCCGTTTTCACACCTGCATGCTTCTCATCAGTGACCGAATAAACCGTTGGCAACATTTGCCAGGAGGATAAGTAAGATCCTGTATATGCCACTTCTTTCACCGTTTTTTGATCATAGTGGGTGGATGCTTGGACAAATATTTGCACATAAGAATTCGGGTTCAACTCTTTCTGGATCATGGTAACAACTTAATTTCCATTCATTTACACAATTTGCTTTACTTTCAAATAAATGTGTCAAACTAGAGGTATCAAAGCATTCCGATTTGAGCCTCTTGGGGAATCGGGAAACCAGACTCAGAGGCGGACCAATCTATATCAATTTCCCAGCTCGCATATAAATTTACAACTAAAGTGGCGCCACAGAACATGTAGGACTAACAAGTTCTGGATAAACGGGAAATTTGGGGAGAGGGGATTTGGCAGGATTGGTAGTGGAACCAATTTAAGGTGTCAAATTGTCAGTTTCAGCATAATTGGTATTAATTGCACTGGCTGACTTAACGGTGAGATTATACCAGCTAAAAGTGGTCTGCGTACTAGCTGCAAGAAGGCAGACGGGAAAATGCCCAAGGGTACAATTTTTGGGTAAAATTGGGACAAAACGGGGAATGAAAAAGAAAGTCATCAGAATAACAAGATGGTATAACCAAACTGGAGGAGATTAGGTACAGATTTATCAGCATGTTACAAATATCTGCAATAGGATGATACTGGCAGTGATGAACACTTTTAGTGGTAAACAGCATTAAAAATCATCCATCTAAAACATATCCATCTTACATATCGATCGATCTTGGACTAGCTCGTATGTTGTGCAGCTAATGTGCACATTAATGTTGCAGACTATGTGGCGTCCTGAAAGATTAATGTGTAGTCTTGGAGACAAATAACACTGTGCAAGTTACCTTTGGACTACTTTTAACTTTTAACACAAAAAGCGTGAACGGCTTTTAAATCAAGACTCACAACTTGGACTCTGCTTTAAATTGATACAAGTCTCACAATAAATGACCTCTTTTTTTTCGCTTTTAATTCTGCGATTTGTAGAAGAGGTCAAAACTCACAGAAAGCAGGTCACAAGAGGAAATAAGTCATCACAGACGAAAAACATTATAATGTCACATATACTATTAAAGCGATGTTAAGTGGTTTAACCATAATTGCAATTTTCAACTGCCATTTTTTCATTATACAATTTAAATTCACAAATTACCATTAACTGGCATATATGTCGCATTTTGGGCTATGCTATCTCTACATGAGAGGGACGTCCTCCATGTTAGTATGTCGATTGACATACTGGTAATCACTTCCTAGGCCAGAATCTCTCTTCTGCAACTCCAGCCTGGAGTCTTTGACTTCTCCCCATGAACTCCTCGTCTGGTCTCTCTTGTCAACATCCAGCATGGGATGATGGCACTCTAGCTCAATAAACACGTCCTCTGTAGACAGACTTCCGACCAGCATCCCTCTGTCATCATCGCTGCCTTCTATACTCACCATGGGGATATCGTCGGGTCTGGTTTCGGACTCTTTCACCCTGTCTCCACCTTCAGCGTCTTCTTCCTCATCAGACTCCAAATCCTCCGATATCTCAAAGAACGGGAAGTGGCTGTAGTTCTGGCAGAAGTCCAAGTAAGGGGTGTCTTCCTCCAGTAGGGCTTCCAGCTTGTTGCGTAGATGGGTGAAGGTAGGGCGTTCCTCTGGGCACGGATGCCAGCAAGCGATCATGATGGCATAGCTGGTGGGTCAATACAACACAAAACGTGTTCTACTTGAAACTAGTATCATTGCCATGGTACTTGTGTGGAACAAGAAGTGTGAAGGACACTTGGCTGGTTTATCATTGTTATAACCTCTGTACACCAGTGAACACAAGCCAAGATGGCCAACGATGGAACTTCAATTTGGCATGCTTAGTCACTTTCACCACTGGGGAGGTACTAGTACGCAGTGTCCATAGACCTGCTGAAGTGAATTTCTCAAACTGAGTGCAAAGGTATTCAAACTATTTAAAGCTCATTTTAAAGTGCAAAACTAAACTAGATGTTCAAGCCAAGACTGAACTTGAGTCCTCGCTCATATGTAAACCTGGCTCTGGATTCCAAAGTATTTTTTGCATTTACATAACATAATGTTCCTAGACTTATAAATGCCAAAACTCACAATTCTGGAATTAAGTGATTCCAGATGTGAATCTCAAACCATTCAAACATTAAAAGTATTCTCGTTACGACTTTTCTCGTAAAAACGATTCTGAATCCATTGATGGACTTGAGCCCATTTGTCAATTTTGGTCTTTAAGTCTACTTTGTTGCTTGTTTTCCTTTCTGGCAGTTGAATAGAGTACCAAACTATTACGGGCACTCCTGATCACACATGGGATATGAGAGTGTTGATGATAGGAAACTCATTTGCACCCAAAGTGTACTTGGAACATTCTTAACAAGGCTTATAAAATCTTGATCATGTGAGTGTCCACATGGGTGAAGGAAATCCCATCGCAAATGAGATCTTCATTGCAAGTTGAATAACAAGTCATTCACAAGTATGGTCACAATTAACGTACATGGGATGAACAGTGACAAAAGTACGCCTTTGTCACCCTTTACTTTATAGTTTGTGACTTGACTTGAGGATTTGTGGTGGACTTGCAATTGGCCTTGTGACTGACTTGTGAGAACTTGACAGTATTCCTGAGTGTGGATGATACTCACAGAACTTCGGAGCAGTTTTCCGGTCTCTGCATGCGATCCCCTCTCTTCAGCATGGTCGGGATGTCTTTGTTGTGAATGCCGGGGTAAGGGGAGGCACCAAGGGTCACCAGCTCAAACAGCAGCACACCAAAGGACCACCTGAAATGAAACGATTGCCTGATAAAAACTACATACAGTCAGAGATGTAGTCAAGTCACTATGCATCATCCTGAGCCAATCACAAGTCAATCACAAGCCAATCACAAGTCAATCACAAGCCAATCACAATTCATTCACAGGCCAATCACAAGTCAATCACAAGTCAATCACAAGCCAATCACAGGTCAATCACAAGTCACACAAGCCAATCACAAGCCAATCACAAGTCAATCACAAGCCAATCACAAGTCAACCACATGTCAATCACAAGTCAATCACAAGTCAACCACAAGTCACACAAGCCAATCACATGTCAATCACAAGTCAATCACAAGTCAATCACAAGTCAATCACAAGTCACACAAGCCAATCACATGTCAATCACAAGTCAATCACAAGCCAATCACAAGCCAATCACAAGCCAATTACAAGTCAACCATTTGTCCATCACAAGTCCTTCACAAGTCAATCGCAAATCATCTTGTCTCAAGTCACAATGACAAGCTATATTCTAATCCCCTGTTTATAGATGTCTTGGGGCACGTGATCACTGGGCACTCGAGAGGCCCCCTTCAATGGAGAAACCATTGTGACGGGTTATCTGAACAATAGCTAGCACAATGCTTTCACCATTGAATGAGGCCCTCGTGATAGAATTGATGCCTGGATTGGTCTACACTTGGACCTGACTTCTACCTGAATTGTGATTTGATTTGTGATTACAACACTGCAAATAGTAGATGGTCAACAATGGTCCATTATTTCCACCAATAGATGGTCAAGGTGCAATACAATGCATAACACATATAGTCCAAGCAAAACTATAAACTAGCAGGAGGAAAATGCACATCAACCTTATTAAAGGATTACAATATCAAAAGAACTGATTTAATTCCACTTCAAACCTTTGTAGGAGCATAACACGAAGAGTTAAACAGGAAGGGGAAACTACTCAATACAACAGCCACAAAGAACCTTACAAATTGAACTGCCACTGAGCTGTTGAGTGAAAACTCACGTCCCAGACAATGCACTATTTTCTTTAAAATTTACTGCAGTTACACCTTGTCACAGTGTAAGCAAATTGACATATAGGCTAGTCAACACTTCTACAAAATCAAAATCTTTTAAACTCCTTAAGATGTTTGACACAACTTTCTGATGAACTTCTAAAATGACTACACTTCTAAAATCACTTACACGTCATTGCATGTGGTGAAGACTTGGTCATAGAGGGCCTCGACTGACATCCATTTGATGGGTAGCTTGCCCCCTCTCCGGTGCACATAGATGTTATCATCGTAGACATATCTGGTCAGCCCAAAGTCACCGATCTTGACCGTCTTGTCTTCGGCCACCATGACATTCCTTGCTGCCAGGTCACGGTGCACAAAACCTTTCTGGGAAAGGTACTCCTAAATAGAAATACAGACAGAAATATAGACATGGTTTAACCAGTTCGCGCCGCATGACGTGTATACCTGCAAAGGTTTTGCGGTATTCGGAACAGATGACGGATAAGCACGCAGGGAGCGAGGCCGGAAATATCTGTCAGCGACCCGCTCACAGCGAGCGAGGCCGGAAATATGAGTGTGCTGCATGAGGGTGATGGCTTCAACCCGCCTGGCTTGAGGTCGAGTGAAATTAAACCCGCGCCTCGTTCCGTTCTTGTCAAAATAATCCCGACGCGAACTGGTTAATAGCTTCAGCAGAAAAAAATCTGGAGAATGAGTGCGTTTTACAAGTGGGAAGAGTTGTACAGGTCCATCACCTTGTCCGGTCACAAGTAAATCACGAGTCCATTCACAAGTCCAGACACAAGCACCAGGGGATGCACAATAACAAAGGAATGCCTTTGTCAAAGCTCATTTGAATAGCTTGTGATCTTCCGTTGGACTGGAGGACATGTGATGGACTTGCAGGGATTTGTGATGGACTCGACTACAACACTGGTGTACATAGATCTGTTTCTTGCCAATCCCAAAGACTAGTAATTCTTGAACTACTTTTTTTTCCATTCTAGGTATGATTTGCACACATGCTACATTTTGGCAGCTACGTGTAAATGACCGAAGTTAATTGGTTTGTTACCAAGTATTAATTTCTAATGAAGAATAGCAGTAATTTTTCCCCCCTAATTCGCTCTTTTCACAATTCCGCCATGGGTATACAGAGCCTCGATCTGGGAGCTTTACACAATGAAAATAGCCGATTCAGTGATTCCCATGTCGAGGTCCAGATCACTGTACCGGCTATTTTTATTGTGTACAGTTGCCTGATCGAGGCTCTGCATGCCCAATGGCGGAGTGTGAAAAGAGCGAATCTTCATTGCAGTGAGAAGAAGTTCATTTTTGCATCAAGATGAACAAAACAAAACATTAATAATATTGAACTAATGTAAAAAGAAAAAAAAATGTTATCTGTCATATGACTTACCATGCCTCGTGCAATCTGGCGTGCAAAGGATAACAGATCATTGGGCATCAAGGAATCAGACTCAGTTCCATCCGGTTTCTCGCTTTTTTCATTCCGTATCTCAAGACACGAATACAAAATGACAAGTATAGATCTGTAATTGGGCGGCAATATATTTTTTGTTCCAGTTTTTTAGTCTGCAAACTGTGTGTCCTTTGTAAATTGCACACACTAAATCGTTTACTCGCTGTTCAAATTCTCTTGTCTTGGGTACCATAATGTGATTGGTCCAGACCAGTCACATGTCAAATTTTCTACGAATGGCTGTTCCCAACAAAACAACGTTTGTGTTGCATTGCGCAATAACGTCAACCGTATTCTAGCTTTGATGATGTCAGCCGTTCTACTGTGAGAATTTCTGGTGTCACTGGTGCCCAAGCTATGTCCGCCACTGCTTTGACCAGAGGAAGTTATGAGAGTACATGTAATTAACTGGCAAACTATAAATGGTACTGGATCAGTAGAACCATACAGAATTTAAAGGTATAGTCCATCATTTGTAATTTGTGCATTTTGTTCGTTTGAAGAAACAAAAGTGCTCAAAATCTATAGAAGGGTGCTGAACAACCAACCTGATGAAGTTTCAGCTCAGCTTTAGCTGTATATTATGAGAAAAACGACATTCTAGGATCTCGATTTCAAATCAAAAGTTGCTGAATCATGTTTTGAATTGGGCCTGCATTCAGCGTCCGATACACGTTCTCACTGAGCCGATTGCAGCTACGCAAATTATGTCGCGCACTGATCCGACGAATTATAGCAACCGCACACGCTTGTGTGTTGTGCCAATGCTTGCGCGCGCTTCGCCGAATAACAAACCGAACTACTAATTTGAATTTCCTACGGTGCTTCTTAAGAAGCACCGTTGAAAAGGCCTTCTTGAGTTGATTTCTTCAAAATGACAGCTTGCCAGAAAGAATAATTTCACAGGGAGTTTAGTCCCCTTACTATCTTTCAACCAAGTATGCTTTTCACCAATGAATACGGCAGTTACTTTTTGGATAGCTGCAAATGATGGACTCTGGCTTTAACACTGTTAACCCTTTAGTCACTGTAGCACCCGAAGCCGCTCTGCCCATTACTCACTGTTGGGCCCGAAACAGCCCGAGCACTCTATGGTTTTAAACACAATGTAATACAATGTAGTACTAGTGCTAATGGGTTGTAAGATCATAATTTTGTTGCTTTTGATACTGCTTTTTGTGCCAGGCTGTGGAAAAAAAACAAACGTTATAACAAAACAAACACTGACTGCTGCGCAGGCATCCCTAAGGTAGAAAGGTCTTAGTAACATCATGGCAATCAATAACGATACACGGTGCTACTATAAAGCGTTCTGTCCAGACTCAACTAACGCCAAAGTGTCTTTATCCAGAGCTGAAGAGAAAAAGTCTCACCATAACTCCCCGGTTGGCTCTCAGGTACCGGAGCAGGTCGCCATGGCAACAGTGCTCCACAATGAGACAGAGGGGCGCAGCATCGGTGCTGCAGCAGCCCAGCAGACTGACCAGATTGCTGTGACGGCCTATGTCCTTCATCAGTTTCATCTCACGACGGAATTCCTGCCTTTGTATCTCCTCGGCATCCCCTGCAATCAACAAGGGGATGAAACAAAGTGAATCTAATACTGTTCTTGTTTCTTTTGCCTTTCACCATACTTTGTGAGTAAAAATTCACGAACTGCTTGGGTGGGAGTTGAACCCACCACCTCAGGTTTATAAGTGCAGACATCTTAATCTACTTAACCATTGAGGTTGCCGGGGTAGGCTAAAGAAGTAAAGTCTGTCACGAGCCAACCTGGCCCATCAGGCTGGCGTTTATCTCCAGTTTCCTTGGCAAGAATTGACTGGGAATATTTCTATTCCCCCTGGATGGGACGGTATAAGTCCATCACAGATTACTCCCCAGCTAATGCCGGTACTAATCAATACTCCTGGGTGGAGAGAGGCAAGTGGGGGTAAGGTAGCTTGCTCAAGGACACAACATATGGATTGGAACCCTTGGATTCAAATCCCTGACTCTGCACTCTGATTATGATGAACCCTATAACCACTTGGCCACACTCCCCCTTCGGGGAGGGGGGGGGGGGAAGGTAGGCTAGCCAGTTGAAATCTGGCAGAGCAGTCAGTCCCTAATGAAGGAATATAGCTTTCAGGTGAAAGTTAAAAATTGAGGTTTTTTCTTATTGGGACAGTCACTCATGTCATTAAAAGGTGACAGAATTATACAGAATTGAAAAGTTCGATTGTAATTGGATGACCATACAATGAGCTAAATCCGGCCCATTGTGTACACCAGATGCATTAAATGACTTTCTGTGAATAGCCATTGTGAATTAATTGAATAAACCTGTGTGCGCTCTTGGACTAACCTTGTCTTGTCAAGGGCTGGTAGTTTGGTCAATGGTTAAAAAAGGAAAGAAGTAAATTCTTACCATGCAGCATCTTGACAGCGACGTGAACGTCATATCTTTTGATGGAGTCTCTGAAGAGACTGGAACCCGACGTGTAGTGTGTGGACAGCTTGCCAGCTATGAAGGCCTTCATCACGACACCAAACTGGCCTTTGCCAAGTACCTCCCCCATCTCAAGTCGCTCAAACGGCATCTCCCAACGGTCTGGTATGGGAGTGTCTGGGCTGATGGCAAAATCCAATTGGAAAACATTACTTTATAAAGTCATTTTTGCAGGCTTTCAAGCAGACCCAAGTGACAAAGTAGGAGAACAGCAGGATCAATATTTTCAAAAACACAGAACAAAAGTAGGACTTTTTGGGGAGACAAAATCAGGATAAAAGTAGGACTTATGTGGAGTAGTTTTCGTGGATACTGGCCCATGTCCACAGGATCATAAGCCTCATTTGGCATGTTCTGTACTCACAACACTTGAGCTCCATCCTCAACTAAGCTCTTGGAAGTACAGTTGCAGTACTCCTGCACCCTTCATTGTGGGATTAACATATGACAGTGTGTAACACTGTTACTCCACCCCCCCCCCCACCCCCACCCCCAGATCCGCCCCTGGGTACCATCCCCATCTTCACTTTGGGAAAGGTTATTCTTATTAAGTCGGTACGTCTATTTCACGCACAGGGTAAATACCCATGCGCAGTATACTATCACGTCGGTTTTATACCCGGGCGATAGTCCACTAGGCATGCGGATTACTAAGCAATCATGGAAATATTTCCAGAAGGGAAGCTGAGGGAACTCACAATAACATATTGGTGTCAAGATTGCATTATCAAATCTCACCGATGGTTGAGGCAAATTTGCCCTCTTGACTCACCTGTCAGCGGCCGGCGTTATGGAGTACACGTTGTGCATGCTCTCCTCGTCTCTACGGAGCCTCCTCTTGGACAAACGGGACTCCATTAGCCGACGGCGATACACGCATAGGGTCCAGACAAACACGACCGCGGCGACGACAAGGAGAACTGGCACAAGGACCAGGAAGGTCATGATTGGAAACACCTTGGGTAGCTGGGTGCTGCGCAGTGGTAAGGCACTCTGGGGGCCAGAAGCGGTCGACTCGACAGCTGCAATTGCAGGCAACAAGAAAGATTGTTAAAGCCAGAGTCCATCATTTGCAGCTATTCAAAAAGTAACTGGCGTAATTATTGTTGAAAAACATACTAGGTTGAAAGATAGTAAGAGGACTAAACTCCCTGTGAAATTATTCTTTCTGGCAAGCTGTCATTTTGAAGAAATCAATGAAAGAAGGCCTTTCAAACGGTGCGTCTTAAGAAGCACCGTTGGAAATTTCCGTTAGTAGTTCGTGTTTTTTTATTCGGCGAAGCGCGCGCAAGCGTTGACACGATGCACGCGCGCGCGTAGTTGCTATAATTCGTCGGATCGGTGCGGGACATCGCGTAACTGCAGTCGGCTAGTGAGAACGTCTCACGCTGAATTCAGGCCCAATTCAAAACATGATTCAGCAACTTTTGATTTGAAATCGAGATCCAAGAATGTTGTTTTTCTCAAAATATATAGCTGAAGCTGAGCTGAAACTTCATTAGGTTAGTTGTTCAGCACCTTTCTTTAGATTTTGAGCACTTTTGTTGCTTCAAACGAACAAATGCACAAATTACAACTGATGGACTATACCTTTATAGGTAATATACAACATTTACTTTTCCTGTAATTTTCAGAAATGGAGGGATGAGGGTGGGGCCTGTTTAAAGTGTTGTGTTTATAGATGCTGGAAAAACCAAGACAAAAATGCTGTTTTTGTAGTCTGGTTCCCCGACACTACTTCAGACGAAAAGAAGCAAGTTATAGACTTCGGGAAATTGTCAGGTCAGGGAACCAGACTAGCTGGTTTGCACCCGCCACGAATGTATATAAACCGATTGCAAACAAAACGTGCACTAACAACATTTGGTAAGTTGGGGCAGTATTTGCAAAAAGTAAGTTTTTTTTCCAACGATGGTCGGCCGACGGAAAAAGTTCATGCATGACAACCTTGTGGACTCCACAGAGTACATTTTACAATTGTTGTCTGCTGTAATGTAGTTCATGGCGTTTTGTACGCAAAGCCGAGGATGGCATTGTTCCCAAGGGCATACAAATAATCATGGACTATATCAAAACAGACAACAATTGTTTTGTTATACCATGGTCTTAGTTTTTAGAGTTTTTAAAAGTAATAATATGAAAATTAAAATGTTATTTTCATAATGACAGCATTTGTTTCCGGTTTGACACCCTATGCATTATAATTGAACAGTCCAGTGCTTCGTTTTTTTAATGAAAATTCTGTGTTGACTCGGACACACACACAGGTCGGCACTGACAAGCGGCCGTGCCGGGTAACTCTATCCGGAATTGTGACCAGGGTCTATTTGAGCTGTGTTGTACAAAGCAGCAGCGACGAAAACTGTTCAAAAGTCTTTGAGAACGATGAAAGGTGATTAACCCTGGTAACATAAGGTAATGTACTCCGTGGAAACAATCATACATGAACTTGTGCAGCACGCAACATGAACAATTCTCAACAAATGAAATTTCATAATCTGATACCATGATAGAACAACACCCAGGAACATCATCTTTTATCGTACTCACAGATCTTTGAATGTTTTGTTTTTCGTCCCCACTGCTTTGTAAAGAATTAGACGTGAAGATTTTGTAACATGTCTGCTCATGTTCAGAATCGATTTCATATCATTACCTGTGAATTCAAACGGTTTGATGGGCACCATGTTTAAGTTGGTACTGGGTCCACTCCTATTCACTGCAACCTGAAGCATTTAATGAAACAAGAATGAACGTAAAAAAGAAAAAGCAATCCACTATACAATGGAACTACATGTAGCATTCGCTCATGTTCATGCATGTGACTACTCATTGGAATGTGCATTGAAAACTTCCTAAGTCAAGCAAAACTCAACAGAATGTAGTACTGACAGCACTTTTTGAGCAAATTCTGGATACCATGTGTCAAGTGGAATCCATCCTTCCCTATGGTTGAGAGTCCTGGACCCTTGACCAACAAATCTCTACATCCATTGATGGCATCTATACAAGGATGTTGTGTGCTGTACAGAATGTATTTTTGGCAACAACATCTCCCAAACTCCATTCTATACGTTGCCCTTCCCCCTATCTCCACCATCATCAGACAGCTTCGCCTTTGGCTAGCCATAATGAGCCAGCTAGTCGTGTTCTTCTCTGGAAGCCTGATGCCCCTTGTCGTAGAGGTTGTCCCAACATGACCCTGAAAACACCCATCGAGTTGGAAACTGGTCTGAGCTGTCCATCTCCTTCCAACACTATGCTTGACAGGGACATCATCAAGTCCACTCTCGTCGGACTGCAACAAAAGCACGCCACGCATCACGGTCTCCCATGGCCGTCCTGATCTCGGCTGCGGAGGCTAGCCCAGTATCAAGACGCAGCTGGTCCACGTAGGTTAGCGTCTGCCCACCTCGAGAGGCTACTCCATGAGTGGGTCCCATAAGATGAGTTGGCTTGCAGCTATCTCTGGATGTCGAACGCAGTGACCAGCCAATCGCAGACGCCTAAGTCTGATAGTTGTAGAGATCCTTGGCAGGTTGCCATGGAGCACATCATTCCTGACTTTGTCTCTCCAACTCACGTCTAGAGCCATCCTCGGCATGCGAGTGTAGCAGCCATCAAGTCGAGCCTCTTGCTTTGTAGTAAGGGTCCATGCCTCAGAGCTGTAGAGTAGGATGGACTCCATGGATGCACGGAATAGAGCTCGTTTGAGTTTATCCGGCACCATAGACCTCCAGATCTTCTTGAGGTTTTAGCAGGGACAGGCACAGATGGGCCCAACTCATCAAGTCATCACGAAAGTGAATGAACAAATGAGTGAATGAATGAGTCAAGTGAATTAATGAAAGGGCTCTCCACTACTGTGGATTATGACGGATTTGTATAGTAAGGTTATCATGTCTTACCTTAACTCCATATGTAATGTCTGTCTCATTAAAGCCCGTCAGCCAGGCATAACTGTTCTCCTATAGAACAAGAAAGGCCGAAAAACTCCAGTCGGTTTGAGGCTCTAAATGTGAAAAGTACCCGATGTACACCCTCCACATGTACTATTTTGCTTATACTTTCAAATTCTACATCAATAATTTGGATCAATTGTAGTATTTTGCTTCGAACAACTGATCTAGGGATACGGATTAAGGAGCGTTTTTTTTAATGCGACCATTATCAGAAATGGTTTTATTTACTAGCTGAGAATTTTTTTTGTAATTTGATGGTTTGATCAAAACCCTCCTATGCAAACATACATTCTGTGCAAAGTTGTCCTTTCAGTCACAATCAATCATTTTGAACAGTTAAGAGTTCCCAGCCTACAGATTTTTTCACCACGTTTGGTTGAAGAGCTATACTTCACGACATTATAAAAAATACCAGTTCAAATAAGTTAAATAAGTAGCTTACAATTCTTGTCATAAGTGGGTTCCCTTCTTTTTTAACCACCCTGTAACTAAGTTGGTAGAGCACCGCACCAGTCAAATTCTTTGTCCAACTAATAAGAATTCAAAAATCATTAGAATGCACTTCATCAGTTTCCCTTTGTGGTTGATTTGAAAATTTGTATAAAAACGGTACAAAAAAAAGAAGCTAGAGTTGTCTTTACCACTCCAGGAATGTTGATTTCTTGGATGGTGCCAGACTCCAGGTTCGGCAAAAGATCGGCTGGCACAAACTTGCCCCACTGGACAATGTAGCCATACACGCCTGGGAGAGATTCCACAGGTGGCCACTGGATGTAAGCAGACATGTTCTGACGATAGTCGGTCACGTTGATGGTCTTCACATCAACCGTGCACATTTTAGGAGCTATCAACGACATAAAAGAATCATTCCAATCACTTCATCAATTTCAGAAAAATACACACAAAATTCTTTCTCAAGAAAAGCCCATAAAAATGTTTTCAGGTTAACCAGTTCGCGCCGGAGGCCGTGTATACACGCAAACATTTTGCGGTATTCGGAATGGATGACAGATAAACACGCAGGGAGCGAGGCCAGAAATATCTGTCAGCTACCTGCCAGCGAGGCCGGAAATATGAGTGTGCTGCCCGAGGGTGATGGCTTCAACCTGCCTGGCTTGAGGTCGAGTGAAAAGTAATCCCGCTCATTCCGTTCTTGTCAAAATAATCCCGGCGTCAACTGGTTAATTAAAATGGACAAATAAATCATTCAGTGCCACACATTACATACAGTGTGTAAATTGCACATGGGCAATTCCAGTAATACCCGTGACAGAGCTTTTAAGAGCTCAAGGAATAAACCTGAAAATCTATTTTTCAAATCTTATACATCCATCATCTAGTAATGGGTCAAGGAGATTGCAGACTAGGACTTTTAGGTCATTTATCTAAAACATTAATTAGATATCACAGTTAATCAGGTCTGCCACAAGACATTACACTTTCATAACGCTGGATTTGCCAAGATACAGTACATTTTGCATGTACATGTAAAAAAGCAACACAAGCCAAATACATCATTTCTAGGTTCTGGGTTGAAATGAATGATAAAATGACATGTGAAAAGCTTTGTCAAATCTCAGTTAGCTGTGAAGCTGTAGTTTGTATAAATAATGAGATCTACCCACTACTGCACATTACAAACATCTAGGTAACTCTAATTGTGTGCCACTGTCCTTCCACAGAGCTAAATCTAGAGCAGTTTTTGCGAAGAGGAATTGATTCTTCACATTTCTTTAATTCACTAATACATTTATGTTCCATTAAATATGTTAAAGGGAATATACAACATTTGCAAACATCGAAAAACAAAACTACCAAATTTTTACGAAATACCTTACTAGGATGTTGGTAAATGACAGTCTAAAGCATCCTGTAAAATTATGGCACCTGGTGTGAAGTCATTTTCAAGAAAAGTGGTATTTTTGTAAAAATTTCCAACGGTGGTCGGCCGACCACCGTTGGAAAAACCTAACTATTTTTCAACTACTGCTCCAAATTTACCATTTTGTTTCAGTCCAAATTTTGTTTGCTATTGGTTACATGTTCATGAACGAGTGCAGACCAGCTAGACTGGTTCCCTTACCTTACAATTTTCCGGCATCTATAAATTGATCCATTTCATCTTTAGTGGAGTCAGGGAACCAGACTTCTTGAACATTTTTGGTTTTTCTTGTTTTTGCAGCATTTTCGAACACAAAACTTCAAACATGTCAGTGTAACAATATTTGATATATAATACTCACCCCTCAAATAGTTCATTTCTGACAATTACAGCAAAAGCCAATGATGAACATTCCCTTTAAAGCTATAGTCCATCATTTGCAGCCATCCAAAAAGTAACTGGCGTAATTATTGCCGAAAAACAACCTTGGTTGAAAGATAGTACGGGAACTAAACTCCCTGTGAAATTATTCTTTCTGGGAAGTTGTCATTTTGAAGTAATCAACGAATGAAGGCATTTCCAACGGTGATTCTTAAGAAGCACCGTAGGAAAATTTGAATTAGTAGTTCATTTTGTTATTCAGCACAGCGCGCACAAGTATTGGAACGACGCACACGCGCACGCGCACGCGCACGCGCACGCGGTTGTTATAATTCATCGGATCAGTGCGCGACGTCGCGTATAGCTGCAATTCAAAACAATTCAAAACATGATTTAGTAACTTTTGATTTGAAATTGAGATCTTAGAATGCTGTTTTTCTCGGAATGTACAGCTACAGTTTAGCTGAAACTTCATCAGGTTAGTTGCTCAGTATCCTTCATTAGATTTTGAACTCTCTTGTTGCTTCAAACGAACAAAATGCACAAATTACAAATGATGGACTGTAGCTTTAAGGCACATTACTAAGCTTGATTAACCCTCCTATGCAAACATCCATTCTGTCCTTTCAGTCAAAATAAAGTGACTGTTTTTGACAGTTAAGAGCTCCCAGCTTACACAAAGCAGGATTGACTGGCTGTGACTGTTTATGTAACTTGATACAGCTGTGCTTTGAATGTAGGTGATTTCCTGCTATTGTATGCTGACTGAATTTGACTAGTCAAAGTGCTTGCTTCAAATATGACCCGTTTGTGACTAGCCTGTGTAAAAGGCATGGCAGGGGAAGTGGATGAAATTTTTGACTGTCTGTGACTGTTTAAGCAGTAGGTGGGTTACACAGATAAAACAAGTATTTTCCTACTTGTCAAACAAATGAATAATTCAAAATAACTTCAAATTTGCAAATACAATGATTGGCATACTACTTACACGGAGCTGCGCAGTACTGTGCCATATTTCGAAGAATGTAATCGCAAACTAAAGAATAAATATGTAAAAAATAAAAGCAGTGATTATTAAGTTGTATTAGTACGGTAGACAAAGGAGATTTGGTGAACTCTTATGTCCAATAAAATTTGCATCTCGCATTCCATCAAGCCTTCTGAGAAAGACCAAAGAACACTCCCCCCCCCCACCAAAAAAGGGGGGGGGCCTAAGGGGCCTGTCAACTGTTCACTGTTCCAATATCTACTTTCCTTCCCACCCATGTGCAGCCAATGGCGGATACGGGGGGAGGGGGGCAGTGCAACGGGGCCATGCGCCCCCCCCCCCTCCCCCAAAAAAGAACCCAATTTTTTTTTCAGTGGCATCGTACACCACTATCTTTTCCTCTTAAAAAATTGATTAAAGTGGTCAGAAATTGCCTCAGATTGCACCTCAAATTGCCTCACATCTAGAATCTAAAAACATTTTGGGGACCAAAATCCCCCCCCCCCTCACCCCCCAAACAAATTGTGTCCTGGATCCACCCTTGTGTGCAGCACCTTCCATCGCTGTGACCCGCCTGGGCCAACGTGTGGAATAGGTTATCAGACCCTGTCTGCTCCTGTGGGTTTTCCTCAAATTTTCTTGAATTATTCGGTTACAGTTTTCTATTTGAATAATCAAAAACCCCTTTGGCCAAATAAAAGCTTCCTTTCAGAAGGCATAAGGGAATGACCAAAAATGTATTAAACCAAAAATCTCAAACATTTCCTGTAGCACTGGACGATATTGGCTATAAAATATTGCCAAGAATATGACGATTGTCTGAACAAATCAGAATCGCCTAAGCTCAAACATCGAGATATAGGGAAAATCATTTTTAAATCATTGCTTTTTTTCTCAACTGCATCCCCCCCCCCAAAAAAAAATTGGCCATTCGATTAATCAAAACCAAAAATGAAAAGGGAACGATTAATTTTAAAGTTGCAGTCCTATTCTATTCTATCATCTTCCATGAAGTGTCACAATGGAAATAAGTCACAAGACCAGTGTGCTACTCTTGCTTAACACCAAATAATAAAAAAAATTAACTATATACTACTCCAACCTACCAAATGCATACTTGAAAGTCACTGGTTTAATATCATAGCAGGCTCCAAAAGTTCCTTGAACCTGTGTAAGAAAAGGAAATCAAAAGGGATCCAATAAACAAACCAGAAAAAAAAAGTTGAAGTTCGAAAGGTGTGGCCTCATAAATTCTCAGAAAAAAACTCACAAGTAGTTGTCTGTTGGGAATGAAGGGTCAGTATACATGTACATCTTCCATGCACAACACAGGGTCACAGGTAAACAGAAGCCAGATTTCAATAGGTCAAGACAAATCAATGCCTGAAGTTGTTCATGCAGAGTATTTATCACAGAGGGAGCCTGTAGCCTGGTTTTCCTTTTGAAATATCCCAACAAATTGCATTACAGACATTTCTTTTTCATTGTCTGAGAAATTTACTTAGTAAGTTGTAAACATGGTTAGGGGCACCTGATCCCATAATCTAGAACCGGTTCCTGACATAAGTGGTCGGGTACTCGAGTACCGGAACTGGTACCTGGTTCAGAAGCACACCCCTAGTATTTGCTAGAACTGGAGGCGGAAATGCACCGTAGGCCTACTAGAAGACACAATATCCAACAACTTGTGGACAATGAACTGTGGGCTTTAACTGGAAGGAGACTAATCAAAAGAACAGTGGACTAGATGTTTGATCAACGTACCTCATATGTAACGTCACAGTTGCCTCGGGCCAGCTCGTTACCCATGATCGTCACTTGTCTATTTGTAATCTGTACAAAATAAGACAAAATTGTATATTATCATAAACAATGTCGAGATTAAAGTAAAAACAGATTTAGTGGAATTTAGTGGATTAGTGGAATCACCTTGTAATAATATTGTATGGGATTTGTACACAAAAACTATACAAGGGTTTTCACTGGGAGGACTTATAGTGTAGGAGGCTATGGTGAAGGAGGCTGGACATGGTTAGAAACCAGAGGATGCTATTCGTGTTATCTTCAAGCAACCTTGTATCCTCCATCCTAATTGGTCGATCCATCATGTCCCTGGCAACAAACCGTGGTACATTATCTCATATACCATGGTCCATACCGCACTCTGTGTATCGCGCTATTCCAAGATACGTGCGCCATTCCTGTTGCACGCACGCATAATAGGATAACCACTGAAAAGTTCATGTACAGCGTGCTCCAACATACATGTAACTGTACGTCAAGTTTGCTTGAAGATGAATTCGCTATCCCACTCTCACTCGTATAAAACACGGAAAATGTAGTGCGTTCCACATACCACTTAGCCTTCGGCCTCGTGGCATGCGGGACCCAGACGCAGTACATTATTCCGAGTTCCACTCGCGCGCGTGGGATAACAAATATAAAGAAGGAAATATTACATGTATATATATGTACTGCACACAGCTGCTTTTAAGTCCAATCCTAGCAGTTTGTACTGCTATATAATAAATCATTAAATAAGTCATTTTGGCTAAAGACCTCTTCTTTACCCTTTTTTTGCACTGGTCCTTTTTTTGACATCCAAGAGAGAAGGAACCCGCTAACCAGCCCCCCCCCTCCCACCTAGCTACGTCACTAGTAAATACACTGAAATTATGAATTGTGCCTACATTTTGACGATGTACTGGGTGTTCGAGATTAGGATCAAATGCTGGTACTTTGCACTGTGGGGCACTCAGTGGGTCCAAGTAGTAATTAATACTGGGTATCCACCCTGTCAAACAGATAAAAAAAAATGCAAGATTATATTTAATTCCATCATTTTAAAAAATCTTCTCTTCAGCACACATGTGCACATGTCTAAAAAAACAAACCCACAGAACTTCTAAAAAAACATTTGAATTAAATTTTGAAAAAACCCACATGCTTAAATAAGTTGATTCAATAATTAGTTTTGTAGACCTACATTTGTGAGCATTTTCAGGGAATATCTTGAATTTGAAGTATGAACCTTCAGAAAATACAAAATCTTTCTGATTAAATGAAATCTGCATAAATGTTGTCACGACAATTTGCACTTTATGAATTTAAATTTTTTGTAAAAACTTTACAGAAAGATTGCAGTTCCCCCCATTTTTTTGGTGACTTTTTTGGGGGGTTATTCTACGCATCTAACCCGTCTCATACTCTGCCCATGAAAATGACGAGTACTCCTCTACCTGAAACAACCTCCCAAGACAACTTGAGGGTAAGAGAGTTCTGGACGGACGTAAGTGGATCAACCCTCGCTGTGACATTGTTGCCCTTGATGACTTGGATAGGATCTGCAATGAAAAAGATTTGTCACCACGGGGAATGTCACAAAACACAATGTAACATAAGGTGACGTCAGCAATAAACAGGAAGTTTGCTGTAGTACATGTGACGGTCAATCTCTTTTCTGAGGAGACCGGGTTGGGGGGGGGGGGGGGGGAAACGGGGTGGTGCCACCAACGTTAGGACGTATCTCATTCCCTTCGTGGACAAAAGCATGCACACATCGCAGGCACGCAAACCCAATGTATTGCGCACAATGCTGTCTGTGTACACAATACACACACAGAGCTAGCTAGCTACGGGGTGATGATTGCTCAAGAGTTGACCACACGCAGACACTGTCATCAGGCCGCGTGTATGATATGCACAGACAACGTACAACAGCACCGATTTCAGGGTGGTTTCGAGTGCAAAAGGATCGCAGTAGGGGGACAACTTCTCATGATAATCAATCGCTACATCCAGCAACTCTATGTGTCCTATGAACCGCCAAAGCAGGGTAACCACCTAGTTTTTAATTAACCCTAACCAAACTCAACCCAACAAAGCCCAACGACAGGTTTTGTTGAAATCCGTTGGGATGGGTATAGTACCCCTAAACTGATGGACTTTTACATTGGGTTTGGCATATACCTCCAGAATCTAAGTACAACAGTGTGTGTGTACGATTTCTCACGTGGGTGTTGGAATTTTCCAGGATGGGTTACGTACGGTTCCTTGTAAATTATGCTAGGGAGTTAGGGTTAATACTGATCCCTTGGATCTATATGTGTCGGCGTGTCATTTCAATTATGCCTATGACGTAGGGGGTCATGGGGTATGTCTTACATAAAGTGCAAATCTTCTCTTTCAGTATTGAGAAAAATGTACCCTTCCATGGCACAAAAACTTACCAAGGGTTTTCATTTCGCTAGAAGGACTTGCTCCAAACTGGTTGACAAACACAACCTGGAAGAATTTGGCACACACCCTTTCCAGATCCATTGATAATGTCTGATTCTGTATAAACACAATCAAACATTGAAATTCGAATTATAGTCTGGCTTGTCTTGCATACATGTTTGGGCACTGGCACCGGGGTGCTAGATTCATCAAACTGCAGATTCACTTCACCAACCTGACCTGTCTACCTTTCGTTTCTGCAGTCTCTGATTTGGAATCTGATTTTGAACACTGATGCGAAGTTCATTATATCCTTCCAAGCTTTCGCTCATATTCAAAACAAATGAGGAAAGTGTGACAATACAGTGAAATCTCAATAAGTCAAACTCTGATAACTCAAAACATCTGTTAAGTCAAACAAAGAATCCATTCCCTTCAGTAGTATAATGATATACAACCCTGCATTTATACTCAAAACTCTGCTCAAGTCAAATTTTGAACATGTTCCCTTGAAGTTTGACTATCAAGATTTCACTGTATGATGTCACTGTAGAAACATGAGCTAGAGTGACAAACCTGAAGGCTGTTATTGGGCCTGTGCACATCACATTCAGGTGAACTTTGATAGCTAGGTCATGCGTATTGCAAGCCACATGATCAAGGAACAGTGGTTGCATGCTATACAGGGCAAGTTTGCGCAACAACCATTAGTCAACCAATGGTTGGTTGGTGTCAAACAGTGGGCATACGCTGTAACATCAAAGTGCGAATGACTCTAGTGGAACCATTGTCAACATATGGCAGTCATTATTTTGTTTGGATTGTTTACGTTCTCTGACCTGCTGAAGGAACCGGAAGATATCTCCGAGGCACACCGGTGGGTAGTATAACTCGCGCTACATTTATTTCGACATCTGGACGTCACGAAACAAGGCTATTGATAACCAGCGATCCTGGCGACCAGGCCCAGTAGGCTGGTGCCAAATCCAACCATCGTCGACTAGTTGAACTATGGTTAACAAATCTTGCGCGAACTTGCCCCAAGTTGTCAGGCACCTTGGAGCTCTTGTGAATGATCATACAGTGCCATTCACAGTTGCGGCACAGATTCCATGATCCTGTAGGCTCTGTGCATGAACAGTAGAGGGCGCTTTGTGACCAATGTCAAGACCCCCTGAGGGAGGGACACACCATGTGCACTAGTGGTGTGCATTTACGGGTAGTTTAGGAACCGGGTACCCTATTGAAGTGAGGTACCCGGGTACCCGTGAAAGAAACCCAACGCCAAAATTCATATTCCGGAAGCTGTTGCTCAAACTGTTCATAAAAGTGCCCACAATAACACTACTACATTGGCGCATCAATGCTGCAAGATACAAGTTAGTACAGTGCCGGTTAAAAGGATTTGCATTTTTCAAATGCCCATAAACATGAAATCTGTTTTGGTTTTCCATGCATGAAGTCTGGTTTTCATATTGAAAATTCCACACAAATGCCATTCAAACCTTTCTTTTTTATTGTCTGAGAAGTTACTAAAGGCCTTTTCACTGGTTGATGAGGGGTTATGAGGCAGGGTTCAAAGCATGCAGCGTTTCACACTTGAAAACTTTTAACCCTGCTCCAACCCTGCATCAACCCTGAGATTGATTTTGCCCTTGGTTGAAGTCAACCCTGCTCCAGACCAGGGTTGAGATTTTCAACCTGGGTTAAAACTCTCCTGGGTTGAAAATAGAAGTAACCGAGCGAAAGTAGTTTAGTTTGCATGAAATAAGTGTGAAATGACACGAGGTTGAACAGGGGGTTGAAAAATAAAAAACTCAACCCCGGGCGGCACTGGGTTCGCCCAGGGATGAGTTCAACCAGAATTGAGAGGCTCCAGTGTGAAAAGGCCATACGTAATTTGTAAAACTTGCAACGGGTACCCGATCCCTTAATCTGGAACCAGTTTCTGACATCAGCGGCATCAGTGGAAATACACGCAACTTATTTTAATCCGAATGAGCACAAGCTGGTATCGTTTTGCATGAGCGCCAGGCATACAGAAATTCATTCAAGATTCCCTTCCAATTGTCTCCCCCAACTCTCTCCATTTGTAACCGTTGAGGGGGCACTAGTGCACAGAGTCTATATCACAATACTTACAACCGTCTGTATTGCATAACTCCACTCCTCCAAGCCGTCACTGTAGCGTACAACGCTCACAAAGCCGTGACGCTGACGGTGACAATCATTTATACAAGGGGCCGGCCACCATCTCAGCACCAGGTTATTGTCGGCTAGCATTACATCATCAAGTAATGGTTTCTCCATCGGCAAACCTTCGTCTTCATGAAACAAAGGCAGAGAGGAGAAAAATGATACTAAATATCGATGCAAATTGACTAAAGGGCAATCATGACATGTTCTTGCAAGACAGATTGCACCAGGCTGGAGGATGGATCAAAATACGTTATTGGTTGATTTTGAGGAAAGAGGAAAGATTTTGAGTTCTCTTCACAAGGCAGCTTGTTTTACTGCAACTGGACATTTCATCACAAAGTTATGAAAATTAAAAATGAAGTTGGGAGCATTGTAATGATTAAAATAACCTTATAGACTGAACAAAAAAGACTTTCAAGTTTGAGGAATATTTAATTGTTCAATACTTACATCCTGTTCATATATATGTAAGTAGTGTAAAAAAAGAAGAAGAATAAAACATATAAATCCGGCCTGATCCCTAACCTGGGACTGTGTGGTTCGTCAGCACCCCCCCCCCCCCAAAAAAAATAAAACAAACACAACATTTGAACATTTCGTCTGAATGCACACAACAAAAACAAAACACATATCTCATGGACAAATGGGGAGGGGGAGAAGGGCTGAAAATCCATAAATATATGACAAAAAAAAGAATTAATGCGAGGTTTGCATTTTAAACACAGACAGCCCAATGCTAAGTTCCTTCCGATATCACAAAAACAAACACAGCTGCAAGCGTTAAGCCATCACGGAATTTCTCACTGAATCGGTGCGTAAGGACCTCATTGATATTTTTCAAGAATCTAGGACAGACAACAAAGCAACAAACATCAACTGATTACTACTCCAGACAAAGTAAAACAAGCTGCCCTCTTTGACTCCTAATGTGTTGCATATTGATTTTTCTTATCTTCAGATGTGCCTCAGATTTCCAAAATAGCACGTTCCAGGAATCACCTCGGGGCAACCTATATATTTTCACATAGGTCACCTATGTTTTCCTGCTCTTGAAACAGTCAATATTTGTTTGAAATATGCAGATTCATATATGGAATCACTTAGAAGAAATTTTTGTTTTTAATTTTTATAGCCCGTTGAGCATTGGTTTATATATGTGCAACTTATCATCACTGTTTTCACGAACCGACACGCACGCGCTGTGTGCGCGCACTTCGTGAAATTGCACATACATGTATGATTATTTTGGTTTTTAGGAACTGACACGCAAGCACTGTGGCAGAAATACAATCCAGAGAAAACTTTTCGAAAATGTTGACATGATTTTACTCCATCAATGCACTTGTGGGGCTATAAAGTCATTTATTGTACAACCTGTTAACTGGTGAAACGCAATCTCGACTTATGCTTAGCTAATTAGAAATTCAATAATTTGAGACGGGTTTCAGTTCGTGAAAACAAAAAGAACGACTCTAGACTTGCTTGTCAGTTCGTGAAAACTAAAATTACGCATTACTAAAGAAACTCAGGGACCATCAGGTGTCAGTTCGTGGTGTCAGTGACTATATGTACATGTCCATGTTTTAGGGAAGTATAACCTTCCTGCCAAATAGTTTAAACTTCAACTGCTCTCCAAAAAACGTAAAAGCTTTCATCAAATTTCCTATACTTTATGCAAAGCGATGAATATGTATGGAAAAACCCAGAACTTATGTAAGTTGCAAGTTGTATGATGTTCAAGAGCTGCCCCCCCCCCCCAAAAAAAAAGAAAAGAAATAATGACAGTAATGTAATTTTGGAAAGCAAATAGATCTATTGCCAAATTACACGTAGGTGTTGAACTCATCTCATTCTGGCTGCCCAGGTGTTAGATTCAATTCAGTCTTGCATGTGTATGCATTGAACCAGATGACAGTACAATGATGCATTATTTATTGTGAAGTTATTTGCATTGCATAGAGAATCTATAAACTATTTAGTGCTTGGCCCCATTTGCCTACTTTTGCCAGTAGTGGTTCAGCATTACAAACACAAATCTATAATGTTGACAAACCAATATTGGCATCATCATTCTTATTACCCTCTCTCTTAAGCACTTTGTCTACTGGGTGAATTTATTCAGCATAGATTTGTTTTTTTTTTTATAGTAAAACGAAAACAATAGCAATGAAATAATTTGTTTGCCACCATGACTAATAGATCTCGCAGTTAAAGGGGCACTAGGTCCTGGAATCCCCGAAAATGTCATGTTTTGGATTGTTTACTTATCCTATTTCAAACATCTGGTTCAAAGGAAACCAACCTAATGTCTTAATACCGTTCCTTTTTGGGGTGGCAAAAGTGGACCCCGATTTTGTTCTCACACGAATTATACAAGAGTAACTCAAAAGCGGCTTGTTTTGAAAGGATAGTTGAGTGGAACAAATTGAAGAGAGAGAGTGAATCATCGTTTCTGTGGACACTTTTTTGGCCAATGAAAGCATTATAAACATTAGTACTTTGATATACAAAACACGCCACACATACATTTATACAGTCGTAGAAAGTGTGCAGCCAACGTTTCTGTACATTTTTTATACATTTGTTATACACCATTCTGCGATTTGATACATTTCTCATTCATAAAAAGGACTACACTTCTAAGTTGCTCTAGTGGCTTATTGCCAGCCAATTGACAATGGGCACGTGCAGGTGTACACAGGCTTTTAGTTGTCATTTAGTTATTGGGCTCTTCCTTACTTTCCCCTTAGATTTTGGATATCGTCAGATTTTATTTTGACTGCTCCCAAACAATATTTCCTTGCCCCCCCCCCCAAAAAAAACCGACCAATTTTTTAGAGTCTGGCGCCGCCACTGCCTACAGGCACCGTATTTTGAAACCACCATCAATTTTAGTTTTCTTCCAATCAATATTATCTCAGGTGGAACAATTTCATAGGATATTTGATACGTGTACTAGTCCTATCTTCCCGGTGAGAAAGCTTTTCTGTCATAAAATCAGTACTTTTCCGGGTATTTGCAAATGATCCTAAGTGGCTGATAAATATGTTTACCATACCTGTGAAGAAGTGGGAATTTGAATATTTAATACAAAAGCAGTTGAAAAATTTTAATGTTAATCACCCAAAAATTAACATTTTACACATTTATAAATTTTTCTTTCTTCTTTTTTAATTTTTTTTTATTGTTTTACCTGTCCCTTGTGTTAAGTTGTCACATGACGCTCGGCAGGCTGCTGTCGTCTGTAGTTCAAAACAAAAACAGTTGATCAGAATCAAGTTACAGAATGTGGCTGATGCAGTGGCACACCCAGGATTTGGTGTTTTTTTTGGGGGGGGCTCACAATTTTGTTTTCAAATTTTCAATTTTTTTTTTTTTTTTGGGGGGGGGCTATTTTGACGTTGGTGGCACCACTTGCCCCCCTTTTAATAAACTACTCGAAAATAGGCCACATACATATCATCAAGGTCAAATTGTGGGACCAAAAAAAAATACCCCCAAAAAAATTTAATAATAACCGGGGGGGGGGGGGGGGGGGGGGGCTCAAGTCATATATTTATTATGCATTTTCTTTGTAATCCATTACACACATGTGAACAGGTACAAGACAGCTAGACTGGTTCCCTGACCTTACAATTCCCCGACGTCTATAAATTGCTCCGTTTCATCTTAAGTAGGGTGAGGGAACCAGACTACAAGAACATGATTGCTATTCTTGGTTTTTCCAGCATCTATAAGCCTAAAACTTCAAATAAGTCAGTTTAACAATACATGTATTTGCTATCAAATACAAACCCCCAAATCCATCCATTTCTGAAAATTACAGCAAAAGCAAATGTTGTATATTCCCTTTTTAATAAGTCATACAAATACACACTTACACATATTTCTGTCAGCCACGTTCTGTTGAAATAGTTGCACATATGATCACAACCTCTGGTTGCCATCTACATGTATGAGAATAAGAAATGATATCAGTTGATCAACTTGACAACTCTTAAAGATCAGTCACATTAATGTGGCAAACTCTAATTTTGAAGACTATATATATTTGAAACAATCTACAACATGGAAAACTAAATAAGGGAAGTTTCACTCATAAAAAAAAGCAAAAATACAAAAAATCTGCTAAAAACCAGAAGAAAACAAAAGGCGTCGAGAGTATCTGTTACAAGCCCATTTTGATGACGTCAAGGTATGGCTCTACAATCAAACGACAGTTTCGTGCCATACCTCTAGATGCGCATAGTGCATGCATTTCACACATTTTGATTTATGAATGGCTCGGAAATTGAAACAATTTAGGACTTTTGTCTGACGGCGCATCTAGTTTCGAAGATTTAACAAAGGAGGAGAGATGCACAGTTATTACAAATATCTTCTCCCTGGCAGAATTGATAAATTGTTGGGAAGCTTGAGGATGCAACGCAGGCACGTCAATCGCTTCTCAAAAGTGGAACGGGGTGACATGCCTTGATCAGAACTGATGTGAGCGCGAAGCCCTTGGCATAGGGTTCGGGGCCCGCTTAAGGGCCCTGAAAAAAAAATTTGGATGCTAAATGCTCTGTAGTGCGATCTGAGGCAATTTCTGACCTCTTTAACCAATATTTTCTAGCAAAAGATATGTTGTAGTACATAAAAGGGCCCTGTAAATGAGACACGAGTTCAAAAATCTGGGAGGGACATTTGATATTGTGTCCCCCATCCTTCAAAAAGTGTGGGGGGGGGGAAGGCATCGCCCCCTGTCCCCCCCCCCAGGATTGACACCCATGATACAATGACAAAAGAATCATCCAAGCATCGTGTACATGTATATTTAATGCTGTGGGAAGCCAATACAGACCAAGCAGCTTTGATTATTGTGGGAGTGCTAGAGTCGTACTATGACGTCAGCAAACGGGTCTTTTCTGTTTGCTGATAGTCACTGATGCAATTTTACACTCTAGCTTTTAGCAGAGAGAGTAGGACAGCTTTGAACATTTCTTTTTACAGCTGAAATCCCCTTGTTTTATTTTTTGCCGTGGTAGATTGTTTCAAATGTATAATCTTCAAAATTAGTCAATGTTTGCCACATTAATGTGACTTTAAGCAGTAGATATTATCTATGAGAAGACGACGACGAAACAAACTCGTTAATTATTCTCAGGCTCATGAATCATGTTACTACTGCATTGAGAAAACCTGTAAAAAGCAATTTTATGTAGCACAAGTTAACAAGCAACAGCAAGTTTCAGAGGTGTTACATGAGACGATTCATGTAATTGCATCGTAAGTCCTCACTGTATTAATTGAAAGCTCATGAGTAACAGATTCTTAGAAAATACAAGCCTGTAATTATACGGTTCCCAAGAATTTGGTCAAAGAAATCAAATAAGACTTTTTCTAAGGAACGCCTTTTAATTGTTCTGGCACCTTCTCCAGCATCCTGAACAGACTCAGGTCTGCGAATATCCAATCTGTAGGTCTTCCAACAGGTGTTACAAAAGTGCAGCACGTGCAGGTATATGTCCCACAATGCACATACTCACTTCCTCGCGTTATGGATTACGTACTCGATAGATCTACATGTACGTAAATGTTCACAAACCGCACGTACGCAGCAAGCAATAAGCAGGCATGTCATCAAAAACATTAGCTTCAACATTATCCATCACTTAATCAAGTGCACGTTCCTAAGAACCAAGTGCTGTATTATTCTCATTGACAATGACTTTGTCCCAGTTTCACATACCAATAGAAGGTTGAATCAAGCCTTCAGTTAATAATTCTTTCTATTTAATGAAACCTATGTGAACCTTTATTTGCGTGTTTATTCTCACTGTGTGAGCTAATCACTTGGAGGCACTTGCAAATCTCTCAGTGTGTTATCCTGGTGGCTCCATACCGGGTATGTGCATGGTTTTATTCTCCAAAGGAAAAAACCTCTTACTTTCTGTGAATCTTTGAAATAAAGTCCATGCAAGGCACGGACGGCTATTACCCTTAAAAAGATTGGAGTGATCGGTTCTAGTTGCACAAAATTTAATATGGAAGTGGCTTACAGAACATAATACACAACGGGCCCTTACACCGGGGAGGGGGTTCGGGGGTTTAAACAAACCCTCCCCCCCCCTCCTTTGGAGATCAGGGAATGGCCTGCACTTGTTATTAAAAGGCACATTCTTTTTAGAATCACTTCACCAAATCACGGATGAGATTGTCAATTTAAAAAAAAAGTCTGAAAATTGGATGAAAGGTTCGAAAGATGCATGTCTTTCTATACCAATAATGTCTTTCTCTCAGATTCAAAAAGTCTGATTTCAGACAAAAGTCTGAAAATCTCATGCCTGCCAAATACCAATAAAATTCCGTTTTACATAAATGAAGTTATCAAAAAACAGTAGTTTTCAGAAAATGTGGCCATAGATTGAAGGCAAAATTTCTAATTTGGTAAACTGATTCAACACTACCTGGGAATTAGTGTAAAATGACTGATGAAATGAGCCATAGTAAACGTTACTTTAAAATCTCAGTTTCTCATCTACGCGTCGCCCTTCAGAACCATTTTGCAAAAAGGGCATGCATTGCTTTTTGCCAATCACTGTCGATGGCATGTTCTTGTACAATGTAGTACAAAATCCTTTTGCATCCAGTTAAACACGCACTCACACCCTGTAATCCCTGCTGTTTCCCCCCTAGGCTAGACGGCGCCAATTACAGTCATATATTTATTATCATCGTAACATTCATTTCTAAACCCTGAATCAATTCTTTGAAAGCATCAGTGAATTCACTTACTTGTGGTTTGTTATACATGTCTCGACAGGAGCTCAATTCAAGTCTTAGAAACATTCTGTGCATGATTTCGCATCCAATTTCGGTCCCTTATGATCTGGCCGACTCGCCTATAGGCCTATATAAATCACGAAGGCAATCACTTTGCTCTGGAGGTGAATGAATCAAAACGAAAAGTCGGACAAGTATACCGGGACTGGAACACTCTGGCGGGGTTTTGACCTGGATTTGAAAACAAATTGGCGGCTAATTTGGCGGCCAAAAATGGATAACACTGCCAGGGTCCAACTGAAATATTAATGACAAATATGAAAGGGCCGTGCAATATTGTCCAAACTGAATAAGGTGTTCAGCAGACTCGCATGTAGTTCTATCGCTAAAAACTAAACTGTCTGGTTAATCTGCCGTTCAAAGCCCTTTTAAGTACCCCAAACAGTCGAGTCGTGTGGATAATTCATTTAAATTTTTTCAAATATGATTTCAAAATATTTATTCATTTCTTCTTCTCGTCATTCCTTCAATTCATACTTTTTTGGTTTGGGCTTCTATTTTAGTAGTAAGGTGCATACAATAATGAATGTATAAGACAGAGAATAATGGGGATCCGATATTCCCATTTTAAAAAGGCTAACAAAACACAGAAGTCATCTAGTTGTAACCTAGCAGACAATTATGAGGATTTTTCCCTTAAAAAATAGGCCAAGTACACACACAAGTCATCCAGATGGATGCTTATTCCCTCCCTGATAATCGACCAATCAGTCACGTTTATTGACTGTGTGGAATGTGTTTATAATCGCCCTGGCCCGATACTTGTCATTACTATCTTTAAAGCTTTTATGAACCTTTTACAACGCTGTGCCTCATACGTTTGTCAGAGAAGTCATTCAAAAGTCATTAGTCTGCCAGCGCACGCTGCCAGTGCAGACAGGCAAAGAAAACGCAGAAAAACAATTCTCATCAGATACGCCAAAAATGTGCGATTAATTTTCTGTCACTTGAATACAGTCTGTACATGTTTAATATTCAGATCTTTGGACTCATATGAGACTGGCCCGATAAAAGAAAATGATGAATGATGAATATAACACAAAAGGAGCCGCTCATCAAGACAACACTCAAAAGAAAGTTCGGGAGGTAAACACAGACTAGAGAAAAACACGTATCGCAATATCCAGCCTAATTGAAAGTCGAGCCAGTGTGGAAACACACTGATTCTCTTTCACAAACAGCGGTTTCCTTGAACAGGAAAACCACTATCAGCCGAAGACTCGAGGCTTGGCCAGACTGGAGTTAATTATTGGCCTTTCTCATAACGATCGCGATCAACGTGCGCCGAGGCATCAATGTCCCGTGAAAAGGACCGCGGCGACTCTCCTTCCTGCCCCTTTATGATACTGATCTTGGAATTTGGATCAACAAGCTGATGAGTGAAGATCTGATTCTGATGATTTTTTTTTTTCTCCCTCTTACTGCCGGAGGCTAGCAACAGGCTCCGAGGCACGTTCTGTTATCGCTATGTTTGGTTTTCTGGCTGGTGAATCTGCCAGTTATGAATAATCAATTATGGCTAAAATCCTGGAAGTTTGTAGTGTGCCTTATGGCAACTGAGCCTTAGCCAGACATTAGGACAAGAACTTGTTGGGGTAATGTTTGTGCTTGTGTATTTTGTTTTCAAATGACCAATAAAGCATGGCTAAAGTGATACTTGATAAGAAACATTATCCCACAGAGAACAATTAAGGCAAAATTGGTGATTTGATTCAGCATCAAATGATTCCACCATACTGTCCGTTATGACAGTAAGTCAGAAAACTGACTATTCCTAACAATATTTTCAGTTCAGAAATGGACATGCACGTAATTTATCCGATGGGTTATTTGGGGGAAAAAATAGCAAGCTTGTCAATGGAGGATACTACTGCCATTTTATTTTCTCAAGTGCAAACCATTTCATAATAAAAACAGCTAATGAAACTAATTAGCAAAAGAATTTAAACACAACAACCAAAAGAAGGCTTATTGCACTGTACAGATACCATTTTTCTCTTAGAAATCTCCCCAAACTTACAACTTGCAATATTGACAGCCACAAACAGATATGCACATTTTAATCAATAATGAACAAATGAACAGCTAACTTTCTACATTTTGACAAGCCCCGCGAGATCTT